TCCTCTCCTCTCCTCTCCTCTCCTCTCCTCTCCTCTCTCCTCTCTTCTCCTCTCCTCTCCTCTTCAGTTGGCCATGGCAAGGAAACGAGCAGTCTACGACTTGCTCAAGGCAGGACGACCGCGTCAGCTGCTTGTTGGCTCACTGCTGGGGTGCAGGTGGGGGAGGTGGTTGCGGAGATCCGGAAGATGGCAGCAGGAGATGAGCTGGACCTCGTCATCGCAGCTGACGTTCTTGTTTACTTCGGGAACCTCGAGCCCTTCATGCTGGTGATACGAAACAACCGAAGCAAAGCACTCTCCCTCCTCCTCTCCTTCCTTCTGCTGCTGCTGCTGCTGCTTCCTCCTCCTGCTCCTCCTGCTCCTCCTGCTCCTCCTGCTCCTCCTCCTACTCCTACTTTTACTGCTACTACTACTACTACTACTGCTACTACTACTACTATCCTCTTCTCCCTCGACCATCCTTCGACTCCATCCTTTCTACTGCTTTAGCTCTCCGTTACTCACGTCCTCGTGTACAATCTCTTCCTCCTTCCTCCCTCTGGCCTTGTTCCCTCCTCCCTCCTTTTTTGCCCATCTGCCCCCTCTTTCACCTGCTCAGCAAAAGCTTGCAGGCTTCTCAGGAGCTGGTGAGGGGACGAGCTGGCCTGATCGCCTTCACTGTTGAGCTTGCGGACGAGAAGTCTTGCGGGGAGGAAGCGAATCAAGGGTGGAGGTTGACTGTCACCGGCAGATATGCACATTGCAGGTAGGAGCAGGAGCAGGAGCAGGAGCAGGAGAAGGAAGAAGACAGTGAATAGGAGGAGGGGGGAGAGGAGGGGAAGGAGGAGGAGGAGGAGGAAGAAGACCGTGAATAGAAGAAGAGGGAGAGGAGGGGATTAGAGGGGAAGGAGGAGGAGAAAAGGATTTGGTGAGAGGGATACAGGAGTGAGAGGAGGAGGAGGAGTAAGAGGAGGACGAGGACGAGGACGAGGACGAGGAGGAAGGGGGGGGGAGGACGAGGACGAGGACGAAGTCAATGATCTCATAACCCGTCGCAGGGACTACATTGCTAAGATTGTGGCAAAGACTCCAGGCTTGCAGGTCTGTAGTGAGTAGACGGACGGGGGGACAGAGAGAGAGAGAGAGAGAGAGAG